GAATCGTATCACCCGCATTTTTCGCTTCGTTGCTACCGTCAAAGTGGCATTATCTAAGTACAAAGTACTGACACGAATCGCACGGCAATTTTCATCACGTGACTGTATTGGGTTATTATAATTCACAACCAGACCTCAGCAAGCCGACTTTACTTACTAATCATTATACTAGTAATTATTATCGCAGGAAGAATTTGTTTGTCGCACGAAAGCTTAACTAACAATCTAATTTCTCGTAGTGTTTTAGATGCCATTACTATCAAGCTTGTTTTTTTAATAAACAACTATATAATCTTACTAATATTACAAATGCGAATGTTTGGATGTATGGATGGATGTTTGTTAGAAGATATCTCCGGAACGACTGCATGGATATTGGTGAAATTGGGCATAGATGTAGAACACAGTCTGCATGAACACATAGAACATACTAATTGAGTTTTTATTCAATACCGCGCGGACAGAGTCGCGGGCGTCAGCTAGTAAACAATTATATTTTCATAAAATAGTATTAGCTATTATATTATTTCTGAATAAAGGATATGCAAATATCTAAAAATAGCAAGCCGATAATGGAATATAAAGTAAAAAGTAAAAGTCGTGTCGTTGCAGTTGAAAGAACTTGCTTTGTTTTGTAAAAGAAAACAAAAAACATAGTAAAACCATAGCCTTTTAAACAATGAAGTGTATTCATTTTTTTTTCAATCATACAAATTATTCTTTTAACACGCATTGTTTAAATGAACTCTATATTCTTACTATCGATTTATCTCATTATCATTGTAGGATCTGAATTAAAACGACATTCATTATTTTATATTATAATATATTAAACTTCTTTTAAAAAAATGCGGCTAAATTTCGAAATATTTTATTATCATCATCATCAGCTCACTATACATCCCCACCGAGGGGCTCGGAGCCTACCCTAAGTTAACGGTGATTAGTCCATAGTCAACCACGCTGGCCTAGTGCGGGTTAGTTGACTTCACACATATCTTTGAATTTCTTCTCAGGTATGTGCAGGTTGCATCACGATGTTTTCCTTCACCGTAAGAACGTCGGATAAATGTACATATGTAAATCGGAAATCGAAAAACACATTGGTACATGGCGGGATTCAAACCCAGGACCTGTAGATTGCAAGTCAAGTGCTTAACCCATGAGCCACCGACGATCTAAGACCGACGATCGATTTTATTATGTTTATAAATACTTTACTTTTGAATTCCGATTCTTTGTGGAAAATGAATAATTGTATCATCCCTTTATCCATTCCAAAACATAGGTCAAGTAGTAATAAATGGTACTTAACTAAAGAGGCTTTAATATAACTAATGTCCGGAAATCATGTTCTTCATGGTTTGATAATTAGAGTAACAACTATGATAATGAAGAGTAATTTGCTCTATTAAGAACATTAGACCTACGTCATTATTTACAGTATAAATATATAAAAAACAAGATAACTAAAGCATATTCAATGTATTTTACATTACATCAATTCGTTGACGTTGAAAAACCACGAAAACACGTTTTTAATACACCTAGTACAAAAAAAATAAAGTGGTGATTTGTGTTCGGGCACGATTATGATTATTTTTATCCTCTTTGAAGTCACCATGTTTACTTGGGATCCAATTAAGAGTTAAACGCTAATGCGTGAAATCCGGCGAACCTTTTGTACAGACAGACAAATATGTTAAAAAAAATATTTTTACTATAAAATTCTAGATGTGTTATTCCACAGATATATTTTACCTGCTTAATATTTCAAAATCATACAAATTATTTCGATGCATTTGAATATTACTTAAATTATTGCAAACATAACTAGAGGAAAATGTTTTTTTTTATTTTATTTTTTTTTGATAACTTTTATGCTTAATTTTTTTAAACACACTAAATACAAAACAGTAAACTTGTCACATTACATTCGTGTTTTTACTCAATTACTCAAATTTTACAAATTACAATTTACTCTATTTTTCTCTGAGATGAATATAATATTAACATATTTTTGCACACCGTACATTTGATGCGCAGGAGTTGCGTGTCATTCCTTGTTCTATAAATACAGCTCACCCGTCTTAAGTAATGAAGCGCTATGCCTTACTGCCACACTGCACAGCCATCACATACAAATACTTTAGCCTTTTTTATCAAAACAAGTATTATCCGTAATTTCTTTGTTAAACATTATTAATAAGAAAGTACGAATACAGATACATATGTTTCGAAAAAAAACCTGAAATTAATGGATGGATGTTTATTAGAAGGTAACTCCTGTGCGACTTAACTCATCTCTATAGACTAATTATTAAGTTTTTTTTTAATTCTGCGTGGACGAAGAAACGAATAAAAGTTGCCATTTATAACTTCTTACCATGAGTAAATAGAAGTCGGAAATACAACCCAAACATCTAATCGTGGTGTTTTTTTTTTTGATATGAATCCCTTAGCTTTTGCCTGTTCTGATTGTTTTGCAGTTTATCATTATCGAAAATTATTTCTGGTAACTTACTAATGGGTCGTTGCAACATATCAATCTCGAGTGCAGATTCAAGTGCACTCCAAACAATCCAAACGAATCCAAATTAATTACTGTGTACGAAAGTTTTGATTGCTTATAGTCGGTTGGTATTTGTTTTGCTACAAGTGTACGCAGAAATAATTATCAATCTGTTTTCAGTTCAGTTTAGCGACCGGCGATTATTTTATATTTTCCTATCAAATTGATAGGTTTAAAAAGTTTAAGAGAAACTAATCGTAAAGGGAGGTTTTATATAAAAAAAAAATATGAAAAATATTTCCTTCTCACTTACGATTATATCATTGTTGGTTGCAACTAAAAGTTTAGGCATTAAACATCAATTGATAGAAACCGATAGGAATTAATTCCTTGTTTAAATTATGCCAGTACAGTAGGACAGTAGCGCACAAAATCAGCGCAGGCTTACTACTAGCATAATATAAACATAACTGGGGCCAGTAAGCCAAAATAATCCAGTGCAGCGCTACTGTTCTACTGAACTGGGATAATATACAGGCATTACTTAACTGTATTGGTTTGAAATTTAATATTTGTAATAACCATATCCAAACGATACCACTTCATATCGTGTTCGAATGACGCCTCGCAAATTACACTCAAATGCAATTTGTTGAAGACAATTGGTATAATTCAGTTGTAACGAGTAACCAGGCCAAGGATCAATCGTCTTATACCCTTACGTAATAAATAACCTTTTGAAGCTAATAATTTGTTTTATATTCAAGATCAAAATTATCTATTTAAGAATGATTTTAAAAAATGTGTTTTCATGCGATGAGATAACATCTAAGCTCGATGACCTCCGACAATAAAAATTTCCATTCTACATATTATTTGTTTTTTATTCATGGGCATAAATTTTGAATTTTGTTTATTTTTTTTATATCTAATTAAGATATTCGAATTAAAAGAACAACTCTTATGACCAAACAATTTAGCCACAATCGCGAAATCCATAAGTCAATATAAGACTCTTTTTCTATAAAGCCTTGGAATTCTACATATAACTCAGCTATTCAACGAAGAATTACTTTTAATGATAATATGAGTAATGAAATATGAAATGTATATGTTACGGTTAGTGTGAATAATTGGACATTAATCGTTTTGACGGTAACATGAAGATAAATTTTTATTACGCACACTTTTTCTAACAGTGCCATCTGTTGACAAAATATTTGGCGTACGGCATAATTTCAAAATATCATTAGCATGCGATTTTATCAAAACTATAAAAAAATTCATAAAGAAATTTATACCATATGAAAACACACTAAATAATATAATATGACGTCATTTGTTATTGTTACATAAGAATTGGGTAAGTAGGTTTGCCCGAAATGGTCGATAAATTTTATCTTACGTGTATAAATCATTGGTCCATGTCAGATCACTCTATTAAGTTCGGTCATCCGTGAAAAGACATGCGCAGCGTAATTGTTATATAATTGGTATTCAGTTCACCAATCAACTGTCAAATAATTCTTTAACATTTGTAATGAAAGTAATTCACCGTGGGTTCCTAAGACCAAAATCCTCGTATAAAACATATTGTTTGTTATCTTTGTTTTGCCAATGTTAACATAGGGATGACAATATGTTTTATACTAACATTTGGGTCTTAAATAACAACGACATTTTCATAAAAGAAACGAGTCCTAAGAGAAACATTTCTCAAATCACTTTTAAAATCGATTAATAATTGAATCTAAATAGCAATTGTATAGTTTTGATGAAACGAGTAGCGCCATCTAGTTGAGATAAGGCTAACGTACATGTGCGTTGAATCATATCTGTAATTTCAACGTACCTCGTATCTGTCAGGATGGCCGAGCGGTCTAAGGCGCCAGACTCAAGGTTACCTTGCCTGTTGTGAACAGGTTGATGTGCGTTCTGGTCCTCTCTGAGGGCGTGGGTTCGAATCCCACTTCTGACAAATCTTTTGAAAAAAAAATCTTTTTCTTTTAAAAATTAATTGTTTTTATATTGCTAAAAATATTTAATATAAATATAAATAAAAGTCAAAATCGGTCCAGCCGTTCCGGAAATTACCCGGAACAAACGCGGCTCTGCGGACAGATTAAGACAAACCGACAAAAATAAAAAATGGTTTTTCGCAAATACATTATGTGTACGACATATATATATTTTTTCGATATTACATAACCACTTCAATTTTATTAATTTTATGTGTGTAGATAACTATGCAATTTGATATTTTGAGTGGAAATTTTTTCTGTAGAACAAATTTACATTCTTATATGTAGTCCTCGGTAGTATAGTGGTAAGTATCCCCGCCTGTCACGCGGGAGACCGGGGTTCGATTCCCCGCCGGGGAGAATTTTTGTTCATATTTTCTTGTAACTTGTGACTATCAATTTCTAAAGATAAATTGAAAATCAATGTTGTTAATCTTTTTAATTTGGTTTATTTTTTATTATTCCAGGCGGGTAGCGTCGGTGTGATGGTGCGTGAGGCCACAGTGCTGCTGCTGGCGGTAGCACTGTGCCGCGCCGCCACCACACTCGACTCCGAGCTGGGCGTCGGGAAGGCTATCAACATATTCATGAGGTGAGCAAACAGAAAAGAGCACATTATCATAGAGACTACATGATATGTCATACTCAGGAATCGATTAATGGTTAATAATCATTTCATGACTCTGAGTGCGGTAGTGACTAAAGATTATAAGATATAATGTGATCACCTGAATGAATGGATAAAACATCTTTATGTGAGCATCTAAACACCAGAGAATCTAGAAAAGATTTTTATAATCGAATAAACTGGAGTTTGATCACAATTCCATCTGATGTTAAGTGGTGAGGTTGATAGGCGATAATAAAAATCCTCAAGCAGGAAAAGGACGCTCTTAAAAGTTGCCTCATTTGTATCCACAGATATGGATACCTCAGTATCTGCATGCGCGTCGTGCCACGTAATGACACCGACGGCTGGGTGTTCCGGGAGCCGACAGTTAGCGTGTTCAGAGATGTGGAGCGCTTCACCCTCGCGCCCGCGCCCCGACAGCCGAAGACATTGTTCGATGGCGACTTCCACATGGAGTTCTGCGATAACTTGAAGCAATTGTTGCAAGCGTATTTTAGAGATTTTAGTTTTGAAAGGTAAGATATATTATCTAATCCGAAGAAGAGGAAGAAGAGGAGTGGGGGAAAGAACCTGTCAAAAATGAAAGGGAATATGACTTCTTTGATCAGATATAAAGTATATATATTTGTACCGAATATTTTTGTGAAATAAAATTATAACTTTAAGTTTTTGGTTTCTATCTGTTAAAATCTGAAACATTTTTAACTACTTGCGAATATTTATTTGTAACTTGCAACTTTCTGTTACTTCAGGTTGGAGAGGCCGTGGCGGGCTTTCACTGCGGGCTGGCCCACTGATATCATGGCCAGGAACTTGGGCATCAACTCTTCATTCATCACCGGAGATCACTGTTACGTTCTCGTCAGGGTGTCCAGGTAACATTTCATTCATTATCATTACATAAATTAGACATTATAAATATTACCTTTATTAATCCTCAAATTTTTATCACTGCCACAATCAGGTTAGTCTGATATCAAAGCGGTGTCTAAGTATGGATTATTTAAACAAGCAACCAGTAATTGACAATAAGACACGTATTATATATTCCATTTAATAGATTCGATGTATTCCAATTCCAGGTTCCGTGAAACAGCCAAACTAAGCGAGTTGCCATCGACAATCGGCGTGGAGGACGTTGTTTACGACGCGATACAGGAGTCAGCTATAGGCGACACTGTATCCATCGCTGATTTTATCAGGAAGTACGGCTCGCATTACATCGCTTCATACATCACTGGTAACTCTTTATATCAGGTAAGAAAATGTGTAATTTAAAGCCCCTTAATATCCAACAACCCTATATACCCAAACGACCCACACCCAAAACGGTCAAAAGTTGATTCTTGAATTCGGCAATTTTGTCAAGGTAGGTCCTAGCCCAATCAAGTCTGGGAATCTAAGGCTTAGATAATTAAAAAACGTATATTTCAATACACCGACTATAACTTTGGATGTCTGACCACTACAGTCGCGCAGTATTACCTAGTTCCTCCATTCTGCAAGATGGAGATGCAAGATTCTATCGAACAACCATTATATAAAGATGTTATTAAAAGTGGCTCATCGACACGTTTAACAAAACACGTTTGAATCATCAGGGAAAAAATATTTTACTTCTTACAACGTGCTTCGTCACGTGGGACGGCTCGAAACGTGATATTGAGTGGAACAGAAACGCATTGAGTTTTCTAAACAATCCGATAAAGTTGATTATTTAAAAGTTCTTTTGCTATGTTTTATTCAGAATCAATCATTTATCAATAACGTGTGGCACATTCTTTATGTATTATCGTTATTTTCAATAGATGGCATTAAAACTAAATGTAAAACGCTCGCAAATATCAATTAACATAAACAAAGATTAGCCACGAGTTTCAAAACATAAAGTTGATGCATAAATTATATCTAACGAAAATACCTAGCCACTACTAAGGGTAAACAGGGTTTGAGGAATTACGCAACGTATGTTTAATTTATATTTATATTAAATTGTTTAGGTGTTTGTGTTCTCTCGCGGAGTGTACTCGAGGATAAAGGAGCGCGTCAAGTCGCAAGGCGTCAAAGACATACCGTCCAGCGAGATGAACAACTTCTTCTCGCCCTTCTTTGCCGAGCACGTTGGCGCGGTCAAGGTTTGGATCGAACTATCACGTGGCCTGTTTCGACTGTTTATTTTTTTTTATTAACTGCCAGTAGTTTGGAGTTTCACTTATAAAACAAATTAAGGATAACTGCAGCACATCAGTCATTAGTCATGAATAGTTGATTGAATTACTGATTGTCCTAAAGTTATTCAAATTGAATTTTAAATATTTTTTTATTAATTTTAATGGCTTTTTTATAAAATTATTTGAGCAGTTATAACGTTAGAACCAGGCCACATAATATCGAATCATACAGACCGCATGTCAATCTGTTTCGAAGACATAATTTCATCAAACATCGTCTCATTGCATCCGATATCTTTTTCTATTTCTTACCATTGATTCATAACGCATGAGCTTTTCAATTCACCGAATCATCCTTTGTTACAATACTATTTATAAAATCATTAAATACGATGAAAAATCACTAATCAAAAATGTAAAAAACTATCAGGAAAGATTTTATCTACCAGTATTTTATGTTCTGCTAATTTTAGTAGCCTAATATTCAGTTTTGTCGAGAAATATTAATACTTTTATAGGAATAAGTAAATTAAAAAATGTAATTATTCCTACTACTGAATCGAATTATTTTTTCGGATGCAATATAAAAAAATATGTAATAGTAAACATTTTGTTTACAATAAAAATATATTTCGATCCAAATTTTGATCACGCGGTAAAAAATCTATCAGAGAGTACATTCCTGCGCAGGCCAATACAAAAAACTTAATGTAAAAAATGTGAAAATTGTGTCTGCTCTCACCTCCAGGTATTTGTATTCTCTAGAACCGCATACTCCATGATCAAAGAAAGATTAAAAAGCAAAGGAGTTGCTGATATTACAGCCAAGGAATTAGAGGGATACTTCTCACCATGGCATGCTAAACATATCGGCCAAATCAAGGTAACAAGTACATCGCTATTTAAAAATGTCAAAGTGACATTGACATGACAGTTCCCGCCATTTTGTATTTAACGCATGGTTGTATGCAAGTTACATCTTTTTTTTTTAATCATTATTCATTGCCATTTCATATTTTCTGTCTCTTGTCATTGATGGCACTAACACATTACATACATATAATTTATATTTACTGTAATATAGGTCCATTAACGAAGTTTTATTTTTATAGAATAGCTATCTCACATTTCGTGCAGATTGAAAAATATTTACTAATTTCTTTTTCTACATTTGACATATGATAAAAAAAAATACCAGTGTTGTATATTCTACAATTGTCACAATTTTTCAAAACTATTTTTACAATTTTGGGCCTATATTATTATACATTCATCAGTTCATTTATAACCTCTTTTTTATTTCAACAGGTGGCGAGTGGTAACAAAACAGTTGAAAGTTGGGCTATGAAGCGTCTTCGAGTTCATTACTACATATTCTCATATCCCAGTTTATTAAAACTACACGGGGAGCCAACATTGTTAAGAAATCTTGACACGCTACTAGGGAACGAAGCTCTATTACAATTAGAGTTAAAGACATTATCACCAGCTTTTAAAGACGTGAAGAAGAAAAAGTGGTTTGAAGAAGTGATAGACAATTATTTAAAACTATGGGAAAGTAATATGTGATACACAATCATGTTATTAATTATAAATAGTTCAATAACCTTTTTGCGAGTCCAAAAATGTTACGATGATTTTTTTAGAAGAAATATATATTTTTATAACGAAAGTTAAATAAAATTCGGACATATTTATTGAATGAAATGACAATTTGACAATAAATTACTACAGCTTATAAAATGTTTATTCACATTTTTAAAATCATAAATAAGTGCGTCATTTTAATTTTCGAGCAACTATTATACGATGGTATACCGTTATCCGAATAAACAATCGTATTTATTTATTTATTATTGTGTTCTAATAATTATGAATGTATTAAAATAATTGTGTTATTCATTATATTGAAAATGTTTCTTTACAAAAAATAGTGTGAAATAGTTTACTTTACTTGGTTTACTTTTCGATGTGTTTAATCTTTCATTGGCATAATTTTTGTACCGTAGCGAAAAGCAAATGACTTTCTGTCTACACCAGTTAGGTTACAAGTGTTGAAGAGATTTTTTTTTATTTTAGTAGTGGAAAAATGTGATCGTCCTATATTTAAGATGAACAGTGAAAAATCTACTTATTCTTTAGTGTATAAAAGCTTTGTAAATAAAATATCGGTGCCTTATTGTGACCACCAATAATTTAAAATAAGTAATAACTATCATGTATACAATGTAATTATAATCATTATGAAAATTCGATTTCGCATTCTCTTAAATAGCGAAGTGTTTATATCTCGGCCTATTATTAAAAATGAAATTATATGATCTTTTTATACAATTATTAGGTAAAAACTTTTATAACTTAATAATTAAATAATCAACATAAAGGTAATATATATCGCTGATTTAACGACTGTCGCCCATTTTTTATTTTTTTCGTAAACCAATAATTTTCTCTTCGCCCCTTCGAAATGTTTCTTGTTATCATTTCAATAGTAAACTGTTGAAGTATTAATTCCTTTATATTCCACCTTTGACGATATCGAATAAATACATTTTTAATTCATATAAGTGTGTATTTTGTATAACTTAGAATTCGAACTAAATAACATAACTCCACCCAATGACGTCAGCAAAGCGGTTTACAATACACCAAAAATTTTACGTTGTTCAAACAAGGGCTAACGCGGGGATTTAAGGGTAAGGTGTGCCTTATTATACACCCGTTGTACTGTGCTTGGTAATCGAATCTCAATATTAATTTAAAAAGACAATAAATTAATATTTTATCTACTTTTATAATTTTTAATATGCCCAAATAATGATTTTTTTTTAATAAATACTTATAGAAAAATGTGTGATCAAAATTGATAAATGCATTTATTTAGCAGATTAATATGATATGAATGTAGGCAGTGTAAATATTTTGATGGAACATAAACTGATATATAAACACGGCTAAACACTCACGTATATTCGTCCGGTGGCGGCACCGACTAGTTTCAAGCCCATCGGTGGCCCTTCATCAGGATGAGTGGTACTGGTAATATTTCGCGGACGCGGACGCGCGTTTAGCCGTGTTGATATATCAGTTTAGTATAATGTCTCACGAAAGTTTGAATAATTTAATTTTGATGGAACATGTTTTCGATGAAATAAATTTGTTTTGTGATTTATGAATTGTATTATTTACTGACTAGATGTCGCTCGCGACTCCGTCCGTACGGGATTAAAAAAACCTAATTAGTAGCCTATGAGTTCTTCCAGATAATTTTCTACATCAATGCCAAATGACAGCGAGATCCATGCACCCGTTTCCGAGATACCTTTTAACGAACGTCCATCTATCTAACCATCCATCCATCTAAACATTCTCATTTATAATGTTATAAGTAAGAAGTAAGATTAGGACATGAAAAAAAAAGATACCGTCACTCCTAAATCTGTATCTTATTCTTACAAATTATCAAAAATGTTGATGACAAAAGAACAAACGAGGCCGTTGTCTGAAACATAGACATTTTATCACAAAAGTAAACTTTTGCGTGCTAGTCTGATATCGTGTCATTCAACCTTTCAAAAACTGACGGTTTCCTCCATGTCGTAACGTTACTGTCTCGTCACATACCTGTTGCTAAACATTTGATGGATCTACTATCGCCACTCATTTACATTATACTGTTACTTTAAAGATTCCTTGGGTTCTCCGAAGGGAAATAAAAATCTTAAGGCTAATTCTTATAGTTTTTACCGATAGATGGAGCTATTTTTAAGCACTCTTATTTGTCAGTTTACTGATATATTGAAGTTTGGACACACGTAACATCAATAAACAATCGTATATTTCCGTTATACTTAGACAAATAATAGTTTTATAAAAAAATACCCTCTGTACGCAGCCCATTCAACTCGGGGTGACCGTTACATTTCAAATAAGTCAATATGTTTACAAATACTACACAACACTATCAGACGTGCAAAAATTATTGCTGAAAACACTTAAAATGCTCTGTTATCCGTACAATGTCGAATATATTGATAGTTTTGTCTATAATAGATTATTTGAATACGCTTTAAATATTTTATATGCTATATAGTAAGATAATTGGAATTCACGCGCTCAGTTTAAAAGGTTATCACAAAATGAAGGGGCAACTTAACGCAATAGTCTCTAGACCTTGATTTTTGTTAACCAGTACATATTGAACAATAATATAACGTCCCAATTGTATTGATATCAATCATTGATTGTTGCAACATTACTTGGATAATCGAATATCTTGAAATATTCAACTACGATGAACGCAATAGATTTTTTAATATAGCCAGTGCTTAATCACCATCCGATTATATGTAATTTGGTCAAAAGATCGCTCAAGTTTACCCTAATAACAATAAAAGAACAGCGATTAACAGTTTTTTTTTTAATATCAAGGAATAATGTCTCATCCAAGGCCACGTATTCACTTCAACGGATTATTGACACTACAAGAAACCCGTATTTTAAAAAGCTATGAATTTATCAATGGATGAATCATCGCGTTGTTTCGCGAAATCGTTTCATTTGTGACTTATTGACCTATATACGTATCTTTAAGATAAACCAATTCCTTGTAGTCTTCTTATGCTTGTTTCCAGGAAAAAGAATTTCATAAATTTATAACTGAATCCAGTTATCACATGTAACAAAATGAATAAATCAAAAATATGTACTTACCTGCACACAGAAGTACTATCCATTTTACTAGGGCGTAATATTGCATGACTCGATACTGCTTCAACCGACCTCATCCCTAGAAAGTTGTAAATGACGTATAAATACTAGACAGATATTTGTTTTGTTTCTTAAAAAGAATGAGAGTTCAAATGGTAAAAAATAAAAAGAGAGTTTTTGTAGTAAAAACCCACAGCACTATCGTCTACAAAATCTACAATTCGTGTTACAATTTTGTATCACCCTATATCTCTCTTCGAAAACCTCTGTGTATAAGCTTCTCAATTTTATAAACCCGTTAATCTATTTTTACATGAATTTTTGGAGGGATTTCAAGAGATTTATGCTTTTTTAAATCAAATAAAGCAGAGTTAATTGGTATATTACATAATACAATCAAAAATCATAATCAGAACACTTTCAAGGTGTTTAGTAAAATGACATTTAAATATTTTGTAATACGAGCTATCTCTTTGTTAGATTTGAATATTTTAATAAACTAGGGCAGTCGTTAATACGGAAGATTTAAAATGCTGACTCAATGTAACTTACGACACTAAACAACGGTGACGTAAATAAATTTGTAACAATGTGGGATTGAATATATTCAGAATATATTCCTTTTCATTACTATTTGAAATATGATTTTTGAAATTAACGCGTGAGAATTAATTTGTTTTAAAACAACAAAAGGATTACATACTGATATAACTGCTTACAAAAAGATAATATTTCTTATCAAATTGCGTCCACAATTAAATAAATGGGTTCCAAACGACAAATTAATTGGGTACAATCAAATCTAGATCTCTGACCTATTTGAATCTATTTTTATAAATTGTTTTAAGATTTATTATTTGTATGACATGAACCAGCAATAACAATACAATTGTTAATGGAATTACAATATGGCGTCTTTAAAAAATAAATGTATTTTATTTAAAAAGATGGATTTAAATTACTTACATGTGAAACAAGCACAAACTTATAACAGTTTTTATGATTATACAGTTTTTGTTATAATTGCACTGGCGCGTAAATACGGCCATGTTTAAAAATAAACTTATATTTTTCATTACCAAAATGTCAAAAGGCAAAGGACTTTCGAATTCAGCCAGCATTAGTTCAGCATGAACAAAACCGAATGTCTAGGGTTGTTCACGAATAGTTTGAAGCGTAAGCGACTAATCGCTCAGGTCAAGTTCATTTTGTGTTTACTCCGTGTTAACATTAGCAAAATGTGAAAAAAACTCAGTTGATATGCCGCCACCACGCGGCATACTTTATTAAAACATGAATAATTAGTTCAAAATGACTTTTTGGTTGTTTCTCGCGGTCTTTCTGTGCGGTGGGTTGTGTCAGAGTGAAGAGAGTGATTTAGGATACGGATTGAATATTGGAAATGCTATCGACGTGTTTGCCAAGTAAGTGAAAAAATATTCAAACGATTTTCATGCCCAAACAGTTTATCTTATATTTTTCCTTCAATTAAAATGTAATAATATCATATAAGATTACTTTTACATTTCAAGTTTTATCAATAATTTTAAAAAGTTGTACTTAAAAAACTTAATCTGGCTTTAAGTAATTGTGGTTTACCTAGAGACAGCGTGAACAATCTCTTTGTTGAAAAAAATCCAGTTTCCTTGTAAAAATTAAATAATCGATTTTTATGCCTTTTATCTTGTCGGACACTCGGTTCACATCCGAACCAAAAATTAAAAAAGAAAGATTTACTTTGGTATTTACAGTCGCAATTTTTTTTAACATATTGATTCGGGGACTCCCATTTCCCGCAAAATTTATCTATACCAATCTACACACGCTTAAGTCAAAGTAGTTCATCTAATTACTACTACTGTTGACTACTGTTATATGTTGTTTTCTCTTTTTTTAATTGGTTTATCACCTATGCAATTAAGTGTAAATAGAAATACAAGTTATGTTTGCCTTCTGTATGAATAAAAAAAAATAGGGCCTAAAATTATTATACTCTAAGTTTATCTCTATATAATTTCTACTATTGAGCAATAATTTATTGTATTCAGCTATGGAGATCTCTCACAAGTTACACAAGTTGTATCCGCCGATTACGAGGAAGAAAATGCAGAACACGTGGAACCTTTCAGAGAGAAGAACATTCGCTTATTTTTAAACATCAGCAGCCGACAAGTCTCCGGGGATACGATGATCGATATGAATATCTTACTATGTGAAACTTTCGATGACCTCTTGGCGACTTACTTCGAAAACTTTAGAATAGAAGGGTTAGTGTTCTTGGAAATTTGTTATGTAAACTATTAACGTTGGTGTACACCAAAACTCAAATACCATTGACCTTGAAAATACTGAGATATCAATATAGTTGCGTACGGGCTTTACGGCAGTGAAAATCAACGTTTAGTAATACATAAATACTTATTAGAGGACGTAGAATGTTCAAAACTTATTGCCCATTTTCGAAATTCATTCAAATCATATTCGGTCATAATCATAGCGTTAACTCATCTTGAGGGTAGGTAACCCATATTATTTATTTGTGGTTTCTTAAACTTTTTATATAAATTATTTCCAGAACAGACAAACCTTGGAAAGCGTTCTTGGGCGATTGGATACTTGACGAAATAATGCGTGCATTCGGTATCGAATATGACACTAAACCTGACAACTGTTGTTACGTGCTGGTGAAATTGATGAAAGTACATAAATCCGTACAACTGGATAGTTTGGATAACGTTGTGGTCAAAGACTACGTGAAGAGAGCCATAGACAAACTAAATGTTAGCGATGCTAGCGACGTAAGAAGATTTATGAAGAGCTACGGTACACATTACATCGATTCATATGTTACTGGGAATTTTATTTATCAAGTTAGTACTACACAAAATGTTTAAAAAAACTTTAAAGTAATTCATTTCTACAATACGTTATGAACTCCTCATTATGTAATACAAGAAATAACACACTTGTAATGTTAATTAAACCACGATTAAGTTAGATAATCCAATAAAAAGACAACGAAGTGTTATTACGTACGAGTTAATTAGTACAAAATTATTTTGGAACGTATTCTAATTACCGCCCTCTATGAACGAGAACAGACAACAATCTAAAAGATAATTTCCTATTCTAAATTACAAACAAAAAATTGCAGGTTTTCAAATACAAACGGACAGGCTACAATCTCCTCCGAGCGTACATACGGCAAAGAAACATGCGTCAATCCAGTTCAGACAACCTACGCTTTTATTTTTCATCGTATTTCCTCAAACAAGTCGGAGAAATACGGGTAAGTATCTTTAAAACTAGCTCTAAATGGGCTAATTCGGTACCGTAGTCATTTGTAACTTAATAGTAATAATTATTAAAATTTAATAATTAAATTAAATGATTAAAATGTAATAATAATCAATTTACAGATAGCGAGCGGTAACAAAACAGTAGAGACATGGGCAAAGACGAATCTAAGGGACAGCCAATATTTATATTCAAGACCAAGTCTACTTCGGTTGCATTACAACCCAATACTAGCATTCAAACTGAACGATTTACTAGACAACGGAGCGTTACTTGGTCTTGGTCTAAAGACTTTAAGACCGTTGTTCAAAGACCGGCGTAAAGCTGACATGTTCGCGGAGATCGTCGAAAACGATATGAAACTATGGGAGGTTAATGCGTAATATTAATTGGTAATATGTGTGAAATACGGGTAAAAGAGATCAGTAAACGTTTTCTTTCCAAAACTTGCATTTTGTATGTGTATTTAAAAACCAGAATTTCTACGGACATTTTATTTTATACATAAAATTCTTGTGTCACAATGTTAGTTACCATAATCCTCCGAAAAGGGTTGAACGATTTTTTTTTAAATTTCATATGCATTCAGTAGGACTGACAATCGGCTACTATCTATTTATTAATACCAAGCGGCAGTAGTCGCGGGCGACAGCTAGTGTTCTAAAATAAATGTAATGGTGATATAAGAGATATTTTTTACAATTTGTTACGACCTTTACAATTTTGTTTTCCAAAATATATGTTTTTTGGAATGAGTGGGAAAGAAAAAGACATTTAAAACATTAAAGGAAGTTAATTTTTTTCGTCTTATTTGAAAACTTTTCAAATAATAGAAATTAACATAAAGGAGTGAATGTAGGTTTGAATGGCGTTTAGATTAACACGTCAAATGCCATCAAGATTTCCAAATGTTTAATAGAACTCGCAGAGCGAGCGGTGGCACTAAACATGTTAATCTTTTGAATTGTAAATAGTTAATTAATTTGATTCATTTCCATTATAAAACGGTTAATATATGTTTTAACAGTATTTTAATATAAATTGTTTAAAAATCAAATGAGTTTTATTCAATCACATCTTACACTGATTATTCTAAAATAATTAAATTACATTAAAATAATAGGAGTAAAGTAATTAGAATCAAACAACAAAAAAATAAAATTAAACATTATATTAGTTTGTTTTATTAATACAATAATTTCACAAATTAACCTGACATTGTATAAAATTACATAAATTTGGTTGACTAAGACATTATTAATTTATTTATTATTATTATTATAATGAAATGAATTAAAATTTATATTAATTTTTCATTATTATCAATAAATAAAAATACATTTAAAGATAAATAATTTAATATAATAATATATACTATGTATTTTGTGGGATAAAATATTACGATCAATTCTAGGAAATAAACACATAATAGATGCTATGTTAAATTATCAAGTTTACATTTGTCACATCCTAATGACTAATATAAATTAAACATTGTATAAAGAAATAATTGTTGCATTTATAATAAATTGTTGTAGTTCATTAACATATCCTATGATAAAGACGTTTTAAAAAATAATATTATGTATCAGACAATTATTAAAAAATCAACAAAACAGACATAACTATTTGCCTCTAAAAAGGTTTAATTAAAAAAAAAAGCATTTTTTTTAATTCATAGAAAAATCTAAAAATAATGTTTTATTATGTATTTCAGTAATCAATAAAATCTACATAAATTAAAATCATATCTATTTTTTAAAGTACATTTATTGAATAAAAATTGCATTTTAATTTCATTACGACTAAAAAGTGCATTTTTGATTTTTACGTATAATTTTAGGTATATCTATGAGATTAATAACTCTACATTCTAACATCAAATAACAGTACTAAAATTACATTTCATCAGACATCAATGTATTTAAAATTAGAATTTATTAATTTTAAAGAGATCATTAATAAGCAAAGCTTTTTATTACCATACGTTATTAGGCCCAACATCAGTCAAACAAGTTATAGTCGATTAACTGTTATATAACAGTTAAAAAACTACCCTGTCCCCGTTTTTGCCACAATCGTTTATCTACACTGCTATTTTATAATAACATAATTATAACTAATTAATTTATTAAATAATGTATATTATTAATAGTACCTCATGATAGCTCATGAGATTATTAAAATTTAATATAGCAACAAAAGCTTATAGATTTATTAAAAAAATTATTGATGAATTTTTATAGGTTGTTAATTATACACAATAATTCAAAATATTTATGCCAAAGCAGTACTATATCAAAACTTATTATTACTGGCGATTGATAAATGCAAAATTTAAAATAAAAGAATAATCATCAAACAGAAAATTTACTATTAAAATAAAAAAAAAAATTGTGCATAATGTGCGTCACCGTAAGTGCTATAGATTGACAAAGTTATCTCACTTGGTAATAAATCAAACTAAATATCGATAGCTCAATAGCGCCCCCTTGTTACTATAAAAAAGCATCACAACATTCTTATTGTACTGTGTAGTCTAACAAGATTGTCTAGCCCGGTGAAAAGGGCATTATAAGTTAGTTCTGTCAGAAAATATGTAAATGCATAAGATAGAAAAATGGCTTTAAAAACATGACAGCTACAGTATGATAATCTCGTGACACTTTCTTAACCATACTGTTCGACTACAATGACTTGCATTTTCACATATTTACATCTCTCATATTTGCTTTGAAAAAATAGTGACAACAATATAAGTCACTACAAATGTCACTGTCATAAGAAGTACTGGTTTAAAATAATTTGACACTAGAGATGCCAAAAAAAATTGTGTTAAATGAGGAAATAGCTATAACACATAACACTTGAAAACAATAGGTTTTATAACTTGTATACATATTTGTATTTACATTTATTTCTTGTCTATTGTATCATTACTATGAAAAAGATTAGAAAATCCATGTTTTATATTCTGTATAAAGCCATAACACTTTCACTGCCACCGCTCGCCTTGTTCACATTAATATGAAATAGCATTGAATGTGTTGATTATTAAAAAATCATACATATTCAGAACCACTTACCAACTTTAGTCCATTATTTCAGTTGAGGGTTTTATTTCGAAATAGATATTTTAATATCTATTTTATTATAATTTCAGATCCCTCAACTGTTTTGCTAGTCAGTGCAATTCATATGTGCTGGTTACACGCGTGCAGGCAAATTGATTTCTCCCTACCCTCTTTCCGTTAACCAATAATAGCATCGGATTGTTGAGTCTTAATGATTTGAAATTGTACGTCTGGAATTAAACATTATAATATTACATACAAGTATAAATTATGATGAGAGTAATTTCCATACCTTGTTCCAAATGAAGATGAAAAAATATTGGAATTAAACAAAACTAACTTTCTCTAGAAGCCGTCTTACTTCTTACTTATATCATAAACGCAAATATTTGTATGGTATATAGATGGATGGATGGATGGATGGATGGATGTTTGTAGAAGTTATCTCTAGAACATCTGCATGGATCTCGATATAATTTGGCACAGTTTTAGAACAAACCCGGGAAGAACACCAAATTTTTTTTTTAAACTCCACTCGAACGGAGTCGCGGGCAACAATCATGGGATAATAATATAAGAAATTTATATAAATATTTTAGAATTAACAAATTTAAGAAGTTAAAGATTAGTACAACTTTTTTAACAATATTTTAGTTTTGATTTATAACAATTTTCAGCAATATTTTTTATATTAACTTCATATAACACTTGACCTTGAAACTATTTGATACTAGATGGTTAACTAGAGAGGGTTAACTATGTTATGTCTTAACTACTAACATCCACACATATTCTATGTATCTATGTTTCTACTCACCGCTAAATCAGACTCATGTTTGTGCGTAGTCATATAAGGTTCCGGTATAGTGACACAGTCACCAATGATGGCTCCACGTCCATCCGCCCAGTTGTATACAGTCACACACACGCACGTTAAACTCTCATCAACTATCGCGAATGTACTGGAAAAAAAAGTAGATTTATTTAATTTTTAAATATAATGTGACAAAAATGCCAGCGGCTTAATTTAGCTATAATATTAAAGTTACCGCTGCCCATAGACATCTCCAATAAGTTGAAGGATTAACGATTTATTACACATTATAGAACTAAATAAATACACTAAATTAAAGTAGAAAAATGGCATATACATAAAGGTTTAACCCCTGTTGTAGATCTGTAGTATAATTAGAATAGTCATAATAAAAAAAATGGACATTAGTTCTTCAAAATATGTAGACCTTGTTTATTATTGAAGATTGATAAATATAATTTTGCTTATGTAAATCACAACTTACAAAGGTACAGCATTCTCATTGTGTATAGATCCGACCACTCTGCCAAGCACCACTTTGCCTTCATTGACACCTTCCACCAAGTTATCCAACTTGCACAACTCCAACGTGACGTCACGACGAGACCCGAATGTGTGGAATGTGCCTGGACTGTATGCACCTAACATCTTCTTATCCATACTCTGAAATTATATGAAATCCTGATAATACAAAAACTTGTAAAGAAATAAAAATATTTTAAATGTATTTATCTATTTCGAATAAAAAACATCTTGCTAATATTATTAAAGCGAAAATGGATGGATGGATATTTGTTAGAAGGTTTTATAAATTGACAAAAATGCAGTCACAGTCTGGAAGAACACATAGCCTACTTACTAAGTTTTTTATAACACACACAGTAGAAGTCTGGGGCCATAGTTTGTATTGAATAAATGAACAACATTCACAAGCAAATGTTTAAGAAGTGAATTCAGATATTTGGGCTGAATAGCAATTATACAAAAATGGCCAGGGTGATTATAATGAACAATATTGAAGAAAATCTTATCAATTTGGTATAATTTTTAACCTAAAATTCTAATTACCTGCACCAATTGTGTCAATCGTTTAGTCTTCAATTTACCCCGTGTGCGCACTAATTCATTTGTATCCTTTAAATAATTAGCCAGTTTCGTGCGTTCCAATTGTGGGGGTTCCCAAAGTGGGTCCAGCCGACATGCATGATCAAAGTTCTGGAGTGCCTCGTTATATATCTCCTCATATTTTAAAGCCTAAAATGGGAACAATATTAATTATAACCATGTGACCCAAACATTAGTCCGTTTTTATTTCATAGACAATGGGATGGATGAAACAATGTTTTACTCACAATTCCTTTATTATAATACAAATCAGGCTGCCCCCTTGCTATTGGGTCCAACCAAGCTTGCTTATAAGCACTCATACATAATTTTAATGTAGCAGGATCCTGTGCTACGGTAAAGAATTGGCATAGATATGCATTGCCCAGTACCATCCATGATGTACCATCTTTGATATCCTGGGCTACAGCCTCTTTAGCCATTTCAACACTGTTCAATAATAGAGCAGTTGCTTCATTACGTTTTCTGTTACCACTTTCTTGTCGGAGAATTATTGAGAGGCAACGAAGAGAGAGACGATTCCGTTCCTGATGAAAAGAAGAAGAAAGTTTGTTCTACAAGTAATAAAGATTGATCCAAAAACAATAACTTTACAAATATATGTAAACTAGTTATGTGTAAATTATACTAAAATAAAAATTACACAACTATTATAGTTTACATATATTTGTAACTCTAAGTAAATATTCATACAGAAAATTATGTAGTGAAATAATCAGTTTCATAGTTTGTCTTTTTTATAAAATAAAAAAACTTAGTCTGTTATATATATTTAATAAGTACAACTTACATGTTTCAGTGCACCTTCAAAGCTAGCTTTGGCATCTTTGACATTCATATTTTTCCAATAACATTCCCCTAATTCATTCCACGCAGCTCCGAGACTTGGGTTCAATTTTACTGACTTGCTGAGACATTGCGACGCTTTAGAGTCATACACAGGACTGATGTTGTAACATCTACCTTTTAAATAGAGAAATTGGGCTCGCATAGAAAAGGGGATTTGTGTGTCAACTACAAGAAAAACAATATTTTTAAATTATTCAATACCAACGAAAATCTATTCTATTTTATTTAATAGCAGTTTAACTGACCATCTATAGCTTCAAATTTTTCCACAAGCAAATTCTTTTTCTCTTCTACCAACTTATTTTTTTCAGTTGCCAGTTCAAGAGGATGGTTTTCAAAGAATAGATCTCTAAATTCATACAATTCTCGGAGTTCATGCTGTAAAATTGTAAGTACAAAAATTTAATAAATTAATACTAAATTTTCATAAAAATTGAGTTGTTTTATAATAAGAAACGATGTCATTTACATGGTTTAAAAATGTTTTTTTTGGTGGTAGTAATTTTAATATTTTGCAGAAAAAATAAATTGTTTCATACTTTCTCATAATAACAGGTATGGTTATAGTCCCCTAGTTTATAAAACACACTTAATGTTCCATCACTAATCTAACCTATCTTGTTTGTTTTCGATTTAATTTAAATTGTTTCAAAGCTAATCTAATCTATGCTACGTTTTATTTTACTAAACATTTTATGAAAATTGGGCATGTTTCGCTATTAAAAAGTTTTACCTTAGAGGAATGACTTACAAGTACTTATCAGTAATTCTTCTAAGAATTTTACCCAAAGTATAAATAAATAAATCATACCGTAAGACGATCAATGATCTCTGTTACATTTTCTAACTCAACTTTTTCATCAGAGTCTACAGACATTTTGTATTTTTCCACAATTGCGATTTTCAATTACAAGCCCACAATTCCCATATAGCGGATGCAATTGAAATATCAATACAAAATACAATCTTGCAAAACCAAACCCAAATTATTGTAAAAATAATACAACAAAAACAATTTCTAATACAGATTATATTATCATGTAGTGTCAAAAAGAAATTCAGAATAAAGTACCTAAAGTACTCCGTGACTCTGTAAGGCTACTTTAAGTATAAGCCGCATTAAATAATGACCTACATAAACGTAATAGTTTTATTTTAGTTAGGATAGTCCACAGTAATTGCTTGTACTTAATTATTTCGTCAGTCTCATCAAAAAGAAAAATACACCTGTATTCCTGAACTTCTCAATATTTTCTGAACACTTATCAAATCAAATGTCAATGTCATCCTCATGTCATATTTTAATACAAAAATAAAAATATTGCCGTTGCTATCGATCTAAGCCTGTAAAATAGAACTTGTAATTACGAAAATAATCATGTATGATATAAGAAAATTGTATCCTTCACGATAAAGATAATTTAAAAAGTATGGCTTATTATGAAGACATAGTATACGACGTTAACGGTAAGGTTAAATGTGGCTTATGCAATGCTGGAATCATCAATAGCAGTCATTCCATTGAAATACATTTGAATGAAAAAACTCACAAACATCTATATATAAAAAGACTCATGGTACAAAATAGTATTTCGTTGAATGGCAGTCAAAAACATTGTGTTTTATGCAATATAAATTTTGAGACAAATTTACAATCGCACATAGACAGTTTTAGCCATCAGAATGTTACAAAGAAAGTAAAATCTTTAGTGGAAAAAGATGGAAGTTGGCTTGAATTGCCACATTTTATCTCCGATAAGGGTGCAATTCATTGTTTAATATGTAACAAATTTATTGAATATTCTTCACAATCAGTCGAAGATCACTTAAAGACAACACATCACAGGAGAGCTCGTGCAATAGTTTTACAACATTATAATGGAATATTTTCAATTGAAGGAAGTAATGAGGACTTATGGTGTAAGATCTGCAGAGTCTGCTTAGACAACTATATCGAAGTTATATTTGAACATGTTGAGAAAAAAGAACATTCTAGAAATCAACAGAAAATAAAAAGATTGATTGAAGGGCAAAGCATAGACATAGAAACATTTTTAACCGACCCCATAGAAGATAAAGCTTATTGTAACAAATGTGATACTAAAGTTTCTTGTAATGTAGACAATCTTGAAAGGCACATTAAAGGGAAGATGCACAATAAAGAGGAAAAATCAAATTCTAATTAATTACTTAATTTAATTGTTATACCAAATTATTTATAATAAGTAATTATGATGAAATATTTTGTAATTATACCAAACATTTGAAAAAACTTGTCTTATTTTAAAGTATTTTTCAGCCTTAACACTAAAATAAAAATCTAAACTGGGACAAAACATTTATTACTTGTGTCTAAGTACATCTTAAAATTCTGCTGTTTTTTTCACTTATTCTTTATTTGAAATAGTTATCCTATAGTGTGTCTATTTAAGATAGATTACTTTGACAACTGACGCTTATAACATATCAAATTAATTTTGTATGAGCATTAATGTACTTTTATATTCTAAATAATTTATTAAGGGACTTCCCATTCATAGACAAACAATAGTTAGTTTATTAATTTAATAAATCTGGACTGTACCATTCCTGGTAAATGATTAATTTATTTTAATAAACCATTAAAAACTAAGTATATAATTTAATAGTCATATAAATATGTTAAGAAATTTACATAAAAAGTAGGAAGAAAGCAACTCAATACGTATAAATTCAATCGAGTAAGGATATCTAAAACTGTATTTAAATTAAGCCTAAATTAATAATTATCGCGTGCGGAATAATTACCACTGAAATTAGTTTACACTAAGTAAAAGATTATAAAATATGAACAATTTTAAGACCTTAGAATTTTACGACAAACTTTAAACTTTATTGATTTTGTAACAAAAATGTCATCTCTGGTCATCTCCTGCATCAAAGTGACAGTGACATTTCATCTTTTCAGTACTTTTTCCTTCGGCAATTTCATAGTCGAAATGTAATTGCTGGATAATACGAAATTTCAAGTATTTATAAATAACATATCGTTGCGGACGTAGTGCTAAATTATATATTGGTTGTACTGCCTATTTTATTGTCTTAACAAAATGAAAACTAATTTACTATTTGGAATAATCGCCAACTCGAAAACACGGGTGCGATGCGTTTTTTGTGGTGTCTACATACCCAAGGCGAACAAGTGTATCGATCAACATATAAATGGGACAAAACACAAGGAGAATATCGATTTGATGTCTGAAAATGGTATATCCTTTCACAACGACGCTGATATTTTGTATTGTAAACCTTGCGATATTTATTTGCCCGAACATGAGTCTGTGACTAAACACATCGAAACAGACAGCCATGCGAACTGGGGAGCGGCAATGCAAGACCTTGTGGAAGGTGAATTCATCAGACTGAATGACTATTTATCGTCCAAATCTGATAACGCATTTTGCGAAGTATGCCAATCGGAAATCCTCTGTCTACTTCCAAATATCGAGGAACATGTTAACACTTTGAGTCACCGTGGCAATATAGCTGAGAGGCTGAAGCCACTCAATGGCATATTTAACTGTGAAAATGATGATGAAGTTTGGTGCAAAGTATGTGATGGGTATATAACCAACTCTGTATCATATATTCTGGAGCATATTGATGAAGACTCACAACATATGGAATGGTTTATGGAAATTGAAGATTTAATTGAAGACCAAGATATATCTCTAGAGAAATACTTATCAAATGAATTTGAAAAGTCTGCTTATTGTAAGAAATGTAATGTTGATGTAATTTGCAATGTGCAAAGTCTTGAACAGCACATTCACAGTGAATCACACATAAATCAATTAAGTGTGATTGAACTTTTGTAATCTATCAACAATTTTAAATGTAATACATACTCAGACATCTAAGTGTAGTATCTCAAACCATATAACATAGAAATCTTATAGTATGTAACTATAGGTTTCTACTGATTAAACAGAAACATATTGTTTTCTGTTGTTTTTCAAAACAAATGTGAATGATGACAAGTTTTACCAGTGGGAACATAGAGCAACTTAATTGATATATTAAACAAAACTCAGTCGAACCTGAATAAGCAAAAAACATCTATAATCAAGAGACAATGTCCTGACCAAATCAACTTTGGTTAGATAGAAACTCTGATAAGCACGAAAAATATGGACTCTTGCATATCCAGATTTAACCATAAATGTAATCTTTAGCTATTACATAATTAAAATTATTTATTTCCAACATTATTTAGGAAGAATTAGATTTTTGAAGATCTTACCTGTATGCATATACATTTCTCTGTAGTTATGTATCTCTAAAGTGCTTATATATTTATTAATCTGCTTTCAATTGATTATAATATAACTGTTTTAGTAAGAGTAGTATTACTGTGAAAAATATAGCCAAAATATATAACAAAATATCTTACCCACCGTTGTGAAGGTTTTGTTATGTTTAACAAAGTATTATCACTGCTAACATAAAATTTTTAATAACAGCTCTCTCATAGTTTTCTCATCAAATATAAAATAATTAAACACAAAATTACTTTATTTTCAATTTTTAATAATAACTTAATAACTGCTATGAATGTTTTTTTCTAAAGTTTGGGCAGTGCAAATACTTGATTAAATTAATTTAATTAATTAATTAATTTTTAATTAAATAATTAAATTAATTAAATTAATTAAATTGATTTAATTAATTTAGTCAAGCAAATAAGTATTTACTTATGTAATCTGTTTTATACCCACAAGAATAATTTCGACGTCTCCCATAAATAAAGTGACATATAGGATCTCCGTATGCGATGTAACTTTATTTATTGGAAGGGTCAAATTAGTGCGGAAATACAAAAGATTTTAACTGACAAATCCATGAAAGACAAGCCAATATTTCCTGCTATATTTATATAGTAAAATAAACTTGTATCTTGAGATATTCACAATATATAAGAATTTTACGCTACCCAAATTATAACTATTGGCATGACTTATTGTCTGGTTACCCTAAAATTATTCTGAAGAAGCTGGGTATTGTTATTTATGTATACCAAGGAATTAAATGTTTAGTTGTATTTTATAAATGTTATGTTTTTCTAGATTCATATTAAATATTAATTATCAAGCTGGTTTATTTCAAATTTTGTTTCTTTTCAACTGCTGTATTAAAAAATGTATTTTCATGTCTTCCAAAAAGAATCCTTGAAATACTTTCATTAATGTAGAATTCGCGTGTAACTCCTTTATCTCTGATCTTAAATAAATATTATGAATACTGTAGTTATTCTAATTTTTAAAATCATATTTCTTTTGAGTATTTTAACAGTGGTAGAGCCCGCTTTAACATCTTCGCACGAATTTGCCCGGCTCGCCCGTTAAAATACCACGACCACACAGAAGACAGGCGTCAAGTGGAAGCTATTCCGCGTTTCGTCGGATGAGTGTGCGTCCCAGAGGCCTAATTTAGTCCTCTTTCCCTTCCCACCTTTTTTCTTATAAGGAAAGGATGGGAAGTGAAAGTGGACTTTCCGGATGAGAGGATGCATGGAAAGGGAAAATATTTTCTCTCTGTGCATCCTCTCCTCCGTTGATTAAAGGTAGGCAACAAATATGCAATTGCATATGTCTATGGGCAACGGTCACTTCGCTATTTCAGCGATTTCAGGTGGCCGCTCGCTCGTTTGCCACCTTATGATATAAAAAAAAAGAGTATTTACACCTCACAAATTTCTTTTGGCTATCAACTTTATGAATATAGTAGCGGTAGCCCGCGCTTCCGTCTGCGCGGAATTAAAAAAAATATAATTAGTAGCCTACGTGTTCTACCAGCTATACTCTATACTTATGCCAAGTTTCATTGAGATCCGTTCAGCCGCTTGGAGGTACCTTCAAACAAACATCTATCTATCTAAACATTCGCATTTATAATATTAGTAAGTGAAGCTGTATGCTTGATATTGCATATGCTTTATTCTAAACATATTCCGTAAAATTTTTAATACAGTAAAAAAAATCAACCGATATCACTACATATAAAAAACGATTTAAAATATAACAGAATGCGTTGTCAAATAATATGTTAATTACGTCCAATATTTTATTTGGATTAAAAAACCTGCTACAAATCTATAAGTGGGTAGCTTTCGTCTTCTTCTTGAATAGGCTCTAAAGCGAAGTCCATTTGTCGCTGAGGTTCTTGTTCTACAGGTTCAGAAGGCTCAGGTGTAATAGTTACATTGGACTCTGTGATTGCTTCATCAGTTCGCGCCTGTAGTCTTTGCCGATCTAATTTCACGACGTGCATTATATCTTCCGCGTAACAATCGATTTGCGTTATCGTATCTTTAAGACGATTTTGTAGTGATCTGAAAATTTACATTGATTAGAAAGTCATCTTATGAAGATAGTTTCATTATTTGCTGTGATTACCTACTCTTCATTTTAAACAAGAACAGTTCAAGTGTGGTTCTAGTTCTAGTCAGTAAATATTTGTGTTTAAAACTACCCTCAAACTTTTCTGTATTCTTACATATTTAAACCTAACGGTCATTGACGTGTTCCCACTTTACTAATTACAATCAAATCATTTTTTTTTACATAAATATCAAACATACACGATTCTATCAATATTGTTTCTTAATTCATTAGTAAATATCCTTAGCTTTCCTTGTTCCATACGTAGCTGATAAGTCACTTGATCTGCGGTCTGTTCCTTTGTAGGTCGTAGCCTCCTTTCATTCAGTCTACCTTCAACCAATTTCTGTCGATCCATTGTATTGAGGACACTCTTTTCTGTTGTCTCCAATTCAATGTCCAATGACTTTAAATCGCGAACAGCCTGTTAAAAGTGAATTTTTATTTGTATGTATAAATGTATTATGTTCATCTTAAGCTTTTATATTGTACCTCATGCCTTTGCCATTCGAGATCCTGTAACTTTATAATATTGGCGTGCAATCTTCTCCTTATTGCGGAATCAACCCGCGCACCGTACGCCTGTGCAGCGATAGACAAATCCACTCTTGCTGCTCTGATCTATATACAACATTCTTTAGTTAATTACCGTGAGTTTGTGCCACCAAAATCTCTGTATAATTTTCAGTCAACAAATGAAAATAAAAGAGAGTTAGAAGATTTGACGGTGGAACATGGAAAATTTAATTTCGATTTGTTTGCTTACCTTTTGTCGAGTTACCACTGCGAGTCTTAAGGCATTAATTCCAGCGTCTTTTAATTTTGCACATCGTCGTTCCCATCGGACCACAGACAAGGATCTGATGATGTAAATATAGTAAATATAAAACAATAAAACTGAAAAATAGTTTGTTATTCATCCTCATAATTTTTAAAATAGAACTGGCTTAATGGTTCATTGTTTTACTTCATACTGTACTGGTATTTAAAACAAGTTTTACTTTTTCTTTTTCGTCTTCTTATTGTCGTAATTATCACACTTAAAAGTATTCCAACAAGCTTCATCAACTGATATAGCTTCACATTTTTGTAAGGCCTCTTTCTGTATCCTGCTTTTCATTTTTTCAAGTTTTGCTTTAAGCTTTTCCACTTGCGGAATAACAGTTTCGAATCTTTTCTTTTGTTGTCGTAGGAATATTAATTCCTGATAAATAAAGAACAGTTACAGGGCAGTTTATATTACAATTTCAAACTACATTTTGTAAACTACAACGTAAAGTCTTTAAGGGATTTGAAAACGATGTTCTTTACGTTATTCGTTGGGCAGATTTCTTCTTTCTAAATACCTGCATAACAGCTTCTTCAACAAAATCTATCATTGGATTTAAAGCGCCAGGTTTTGCAAAGTTAGTTGACGCGTGTATTTCTTCGTTTATTCTTTGCACGACTACATGCAGCGCCTCACTTTCATGATGAATGGCAGCTATAGTTTCATCGACTCGTTTCTCAAGATCTTGTAGTACCCATCGCCATGATGCAACGTCTGACATTCTAGTAAATTTATAAGTGTTAGGACAAAAAAAATCCTCCCTCCCCCCAGTAAACTGAAAATTGTAAAATAAGCCTGCCTCCCCCTAGATCTAGCCTAGAGCATCAGCTCTCGACCGTCATGAGTTAGTAACAAGCAATTACATCATTTGGCACACTATCGTAAATTGAAACAGGGCGAACCCAAGATGAAGCTGGAATAGATTTATTTTACTCTGCCCGAAAAGATTCTAATATAAAATGTAATCAAAAAATCATTTAAGATGTACAAAAGTATTAGGTTCTAGCGAATTATTTAGCATCTAGGATTGAAGCATCAATTCTAAGGTTGAATAAATTTTGCGGTTAATTTACTTTTCGTTTTTATGTCTCTGGTGGGATGCTGCGCGCTTCGAATCGGTTAGACGACGAGACGAGACGTAAGAAAGAAAATAAAAGGTAAGTACCTTTCTTGCAGACATTTTTTGAGTAAATACTCATCGGATTCGTGCATGAAATTATTTAACATCACCAGCTCCTGGGTATCATTGACTTGTTCCACAACCTTCGCATTTAACTTGTCACTTATGTACCTGACTTTAGATAAAGTCTCCGTAAAACCATACAGAGCATCTTGGAAAAACATTTTTATATTACTATAAATAATAAACGATCTTTAAAACGTATAAAATAAAAATGTAAATAATTTTATATTGTAAAATGTGACATTTGTTGTCAATACACATTTAAAATAGTTTCAAAAATGCAAAAGAAGAAAGGTTGGATTGATTTCGAAGAAGATTGATAAAGAAGGTTTCAACCTTAATGATAACAAAATCACACGATATCACAACGAACCGAACTTTTGAATCCAGTAAAAACTGGAGATGACAATGTCAGCCATTCATAACTTTGTTTTTTATTTTTGAAAAAGTAAAAGTCGAATGGCTTTTTATTCGGTAAACAGCGCCTAGCGAAAAATTCAGGCAATGATTTATGTATGGGCTAAAGAATATTATGTTGCAAATCTCTGCCTTCAGGATATATGTAGGGGTGGGAATAAATATTTGAGTGTAAGTCTTCTGGAGTAAAATCGCTTTTGTTAAAATCACATCTGATGGGAAATCAATACAATATTACATAAACAGTACATATTTTCAAGAAAAATTACATTATGGTCATAACAGTTTTCATTTACAAATACATTATGAGAGTAAAATTTATTTTGAAGGAAAAATTCATTCAAAAGTTTTAAAAACTTCTTTTAACGCTGTATGAACTGGCTTCAAAAGTGCGAAGTAGACTAATTCTGCGACGCTGATGATGCTGAACCCGAGAAAGAGGCTCAGAAGGCCACCGATTGCACCTGTAACATTTGCAAAAGTCATCGGTACCAATATTTTTTTAAATATCCGGCCGGTGAAAATGAATAGAACTAGCAACCTATATTACGCATTTTAAGTGTTTAAAAAATAAACAAATGATTTTTGGCGGGCTTTGACTAAAACAAATGACAATAAAGCCGGAGCGTTTTACAAATATATTAGTTAACTTATTAGAACGTATAGTTTTAAAAATACTAATTGTAAAAACTTATTACACAGTTTCTTTAAATAACATCTTCAACCCGTTATATTTTAATAATGCAGAAAATCAAATAGTTATCCAGTATAAAGAAATAAATAAAAATATATTGCCAACACTACAAATGAATGATTATTTCCTTTACAAAGTAAGTGTTTTGACATTAGTAAGATGGCGTTAGCGTAGCACTTAATTGCTGTTAATTAATATTTATTAATGCTATAAATTTTACGTATTTCTTAGTTTCTTGTGTTCGTATACAAAAATATATGTAGTGTGCTTAATAAATTAATGATATCGCGTAGATAGTGATTTTAACTTACCCGCAAAATAATAATCATCATATTGTGTGTGACGGTGCTGTCCTAGAAATATGTCGTCATAAAAATGAACGTTAATACGAGTTACTTCACCCCTGAAAAAAGGTAATTATTAAAAACTACTTCTGTAACAAACCTTAATTTTAAATTGGATTGAAATATAAACGTAATGAATAGAATAATGTAATTATTAAGCTATTAGAATTTTTAATAGCTTTGTATAACTTTAGTGAAATAAACTTGTAGGTTATTTTTACATAATTGTCTTATATTTATCTTAAAATGTATTGCAATGCGTTGTTCGCTTTTGAACATTTTTGAGTATAAGTAAAATTAATTTCATTTTTAACTTTTACTACATTTAATTGCACATTAAGTACGTAAAATCTACACTTAATTACTTTGAAGTTATGGGACTCTGAGATATGAAGATATTTACTCTTTAAACTGGAAGTTTGCTTTCGAAATTCTCGGCACACTCATGAGATCAGAATAAAAGACTTGACTGGAGTACAAAATATCGTTACAGGCGGGGTGGCAGGACGCGAATTCTGTCTGCGCTTTCCTGTCCTCTTGGCTGTCTTCATAGTATGCGTAAGTCAATTGCTCTTCTACTTTTGCTGGAATGTATTCATTTTTAATAATAACTATAAGAACGAGTGAATCGTATAAAATGTAAAGTAGTAATTCTCGATTATGATCTTTTAAATGATATTCTTGAAGAGGAGTAGGGGATTCCAAAGTTTCTAATAAAATATATTTAAATAATTCTTACCTCTAACTTCCTCGATGCAACGAAAATCTAATTTAGTTGAACAAATCGTTTCCCAAATGTAAAGTCCTGAATAATTGTCAAATTCATAAGAAAACTAATATAAAATCTATTAAATTTTATAAAGGGGAATATCCTTGAAGTTCTCATATTACTGTCTAATGTTATATTATAATGCGAAAACAAAATCACTCATGTGTCGCAACGGTTTGTTTAACATATGTCTAAGCTTGGTTCATGACGTTTTGGATATGACAAAATCGACCAGCTCTTACTGACAAACAGCGAGAAATTAGTTGCGCATATTAGCCGTAGAAGGTTTTCCGATGACTCTCCCACTAACACCGCGCTCGTTTGCTTAATGCCGTCACTTAACACGTGACGTTATGAGGCTATAAGGAAAGCTTCTGCGTATAAGCAATAAGGTTAAATTGAAAGCAAATTTAATTCAGAAATTGATCCAAAACTCCTAGGACAGACTTCACACTAAAGTATTAAGCCATTGAAGGAAAACTATAATGTCATACTTAGTAGAATTGTAAAAAATATTCTAAGATGTCATACATACTTGGCCAATTATATAGGACGCAATGACATTTCTTTTTAACCTCACGCATCCAGAAATCATGTTTACAATTACTGTCCGTATAGAATTCATAGTAATTCAACTTCTTTTCATCTTGGAAGAAACACTGTCTTATATATGGGGCTAAACCACGTAGAGCATTGTCCGTCTTGTATGTTGTCGGCGATACTTCGATTGTTGTCATTTTGTTCATTGGTAACCGTAGAACCGTACTTACGTACACGTGATCCGTAGGTGAACTTATAAGCACCTAAAAACCGTGTACTTGTATACTAATTAATTGACTGCAACTTAAAAATCTACAAAAAAAACATCATTAAAATATAAAAACATACAGTCAAGAAACTGTTACTTTTTAAAATTGATTAATAATTATTCTAAACGCCAGTAGAGTCCTATGACCTAATTAAAGAGACAAATCCATTCAAAGAACATTTCTACACTGCGTACAAACTGAAAAATTATTGCTTTTTGTATCCTTTATGTAATACTTATATTCTTCATATTTTTAGACATTATTAAACAGAATCCTTTGGCGCGAATGGCGCTCTTTCATTACAAAGTCAAATGTCAGAATGATTAGTGAGGGGACATAAACGTCGACATTTTAGTAAGGCTAGTGTTGTGCCAATACACCGGTATCGGATTTTCTTCCTAATTTAAGTCGATCTTCCCTAAAAGTCCGTTCAATAGTCACAAAATACTTACATTGTAACCTAAGTTGTTACCATCGCATTCAAATTGATGTTCACTGCTGTTTAGATATAGTTCTACACCTAGACCATTGATTTCTCCAGACGCCATGACTCTTAGTGGTATCATTGTAGGATCTGGTGGGAACACCTTAGGATATCCACCATCCAAGCTCCAATTTAAAGCCTGCTGTGTTACGTTTTTATCAAATGTTTTATGCCAGTACTGGGTATCGTTATTCCTAAAATTATAATTAATTTATTTTAAAAAATTACACTTTTACTTTGTTTTACAATAATCTATTTCTTTTTAATTCTTAATAATACTTCGGTCTTGCGGAACCATCGTCATTAAACGAACATATAGGACCAAAAATTATTTTTATTAATACCTATACTACGTTAAATATTTGTAAATACTTCCTCAATATATAGATTAGTAGTTATAGTAATGTTTTAGTTAAGCTATGATAGTTTAATACTGCAAACTTACATAGCATTCAAAGGTAAACTATTGAAAGCGAAACAGAGACCGTAATCTGTAAATATCGGCTTGAACATCTTTTCGCAGCATTCTTTTTCCAACCACTCCAATTCTTGTGTTGGTCGCCAGTAACAAGATTTTATTATGTCTGTACATTTTGGTGAACCCTGAAAAAGAAAGAGAAGCGTCAAAATTTGAAGATAATCTACATTCCTTTACCTGTCAGTCCAAAATCTTCGTTGCTTTTTATTCCTTTCATAGCTTATATTTCGACCAGTTCCGAATGATTGCTAATAGTCTATTACAACTCTTATGGTCTCTAATAATACTCACCTCTACGATAAATTTCTGCATCAGTATGTTGTCTTCTGGGGTCATGCGTTGCGACGGCGCCTGCTTTGTATGTGACATTTGTGGACACACGAGAGACGCGAAAAAATGATTTAAGCTTAGCCTTCAAATTAATAAAGATTAACAAAATTACTACCATTTCAATATCAAGTTATATATTCATAATAAAATAAGGGGGCAATTGCATTAGTCATTAATGCCTGCATGCGTGATACAAGAGATTTCTAGTTCCAACTCGATGCTGTTTAACGACCGAGTTATCGACTAATAAAATTGCACCCTTAGTTTAAAAAAAAACATGTACTTACTTATCAATCGCAGAGACATTAACGTAAGATCGTTGTAAATGTAACTGTGGACAGACTACCACCATCGGGAACGGCACAGCCCAAATGGGGCTCGGCAGAGAGTCGATTACGTTGACAAAAGGCGTAGAATGCCATTTGGAGAACAACTGAAAGATGTTCACAGCGCAGATAGCGATGCTGATGACGACAATAACCACCCATATCATTCGTTCCTTGAAGCTAAATGTCGGCTCAAAGATGTACCTAAAATACAAATATGAGTACACACAAAATATTTGACTGACATGCATTTAGTTAAAGTTTATTTAGGTACAAGCTTTCGCCCGTGGCCTGTCCGCGTGGGATTAAAAAAAAATATTATTCGCCTATGTGTTCTTCCATGCTACGTTCTAAATCTGTGCCAAATTTCAGCAAGATCCATGCAGCGGTTCTGAAGGTACCTTCTAAAACACATCCATCTATAAAAACATTCGCATATATAATATTAGTAAGATAGAACTAACTATTAACAATAAACGTTCAAACGGCTTTAACTTTAGCGTTTGACCTAGCACTTCTAATTTTAATTAAAAATTAATTTAATCAAACCAGTGCCATAGATGTTTGATTTACAATATCAGTAAGTTAGAAACGGACTCACTTAACTCCGTGCAGGGATCCCTCGTATAAGAATTGTTTCAACCCTTTCAACACCTCCCTTAGCCACAGGCGCGCGAACAATTTGCAATTCCCAACTTTGTTCCGTTCCAATGAAGCGACAATATTCCCTGCTTTACCCCGATCTATAACTTTTGGCCTTAGATATTCGTAATCTTTCAAGTAATAATTTCCCATATATTCCAAACTTCGAAGTGATTCGATATCACTACTGGCTGACGAAATGTCATGACTTATGTTGATTTTTGTTTTGTTTTGTGGCATTATTTAAGTAAGTAGAGAAGTCGGAATGCTGATTTTCAAGTGACAACGTTCAAATTAACTCGATGTTAGGTGCACAATTCCGATAATTGTTTGATGCAATCAATTTTACTAATGTTATTTCATTGTTTGTATTTCTGTCTGTCCGTAGCAGCTGTGCAATTTTACAAATGCCTTTAATTCTGTGTAAATTTAATATTAAAAAGCATTTTTTGGGTCATCTTTGTTATTGCTTTACAGTTTTTATTTGTACTTACAAACACTATAATACTATGATTGATTTCTTGGTCAACATTTTTAAATGACTCGAACATCGCGACGCTACTTTATTAGTGAACTAAAGAGTTAAGTTAACGACATACACTTGTCCATCGAATGCACTTAACCGTATTACTGTTATTTAACGATTATCATGTCAAAGTTAATTCGTGTTGTAGTTGTATTAAAGTAACAAAGTATGATTAACCTTTACATAAATCACTATTAATAAAAAAAATAAAAAAATTATAAGAGTGAGTTGCAGCAACGTATTCTATAGAATGCTTTATATTTTATGTATGTTTTTATGAAATAATCAAAATATTCGAAGTTATCAAAATATCAAACTATGTGGGCAAAGATAATCAAGAATCTATCAAAAGAAAGGTGATGCCTCCGGTCACAGTTCCCATCAAACTTTTCACCAAAAAAATAATAGACATTATTTTTGTTTAGAAGTACGTATAACACGAAATCTCTTTTACATTTCTACATTTGTCAATTCATTTCTTAATCGTGGATAGAATATATTTATGACCGAGCTGCCGCCCGCGAATCCGTCCGTGCAGAATTAAATAACTTAATAAGTAACCTATGTGTTCTTCCAGATATGTTGTGTCAAATTTCATTCAGATCCATGCAGACGTTTTACAGACACCTTTTAACAAACATCCATACAGCTATACTTCCAAACATTCGCATTTATAATATTAGTAAGATCATTCTTAATTGACATATTTATAAAGTATCAACTTGATAAAGCGTGGTATATCCTGAAACCATACAAATGAACAAGGAACAAATAACAGGTTTAAAGGATTGTAGGAACACATTTTATTACCTTGTTACACACTTCGCTGTGTATGTTTTTTATAATTAGATGTAAAAACGCTAATAGCTCAACAAGGTGAATATTCAGAATGTTCGTCGCAGGTGTAGAAACCAATTTATCGAGTTTGCTTTCGTATAGAAGGAAATAACTTTGACATACTATCGGGTGCTCGCAACTTCGTCACCACGACATTAAAAAATAGCCTAAGTTACTCTCGTTTTAATTAGGTATTTCCCAGTAAATCTTCCGACAAAATCGATCCAGTAGTTTCGAAAATTACCAGAAACAAAAGCAGATTTGCGGACAGACAAAAAAATATTATAAGTTACACAAAAAACACCATATGTACAATGCAATTGTATAAAACTGTATAGCTATATTCACCGTTTTGCACGTTCGTGCAGCCGATATCTTTGTCGGTCCTGTAAAACTGTCGGTTCGACCTAATATATACCTTACCTAAAGTACGTAAACGCAATTTTGAAATGAACTAATCATGAACCGGAATATTTATGATTACAAGAATATATTTCTTATAATCAAATTATACTTATATAAATTATGAAATTCTGACGTAATTATGTAATATAAAACGTAAATAACATGTCAATTATTATTCCTCAATGATTCTACTCTTTAGAGATATAGTAACAATTAGGGAATCAAAGGCGGTCATACAAGGGTCAATGTTTGTTGATAAGCACATTTGTCTATCGTCATAATATATAGGTAATTTAGATACTTTGAATTTTTAAAGAGAGAGCCAATTAGTATTTACAACACATACTCTATACGTTAATAAAAATAACAATTAAATTATAGGTAAAAAAATAAATCCTAACCTATAACATTTTGTACTAAATCGATTAAGCCAGCCTTTGATCTCGCTGGCACATGTAAGGGATTATTTTTAACGTAGTTTTAGAATATAACTCGAAATACATGAAGTTACAAAATATATAGATTACTCTACATTTGAAGCTAAAGAAAACACAAAAGTTAATTTTGTAAGTTCAAACTAACCTTATAAGAAACGCCTGTCATTTGTATGTTCCTCTGTTTGTATTGTGTGTGTTATTTCTATATACTCGTGTTTGTTGCTCATGCAATTGGTGTACCTTGTTTATAAAAAGTAAAACATAAGTATCAAGACTTTGTGGTCGTAGTATAATAAAGCTACTCATCTTATACCGTCAGTGTTATCGCATTACTCTAGTTAGCTCAGTTCAGTAACCACTCTTTACTACAACCGACACATTCTGATAAATATTATTGAAATATTCTGTTTAAATCGAACGTGTTTTAGATACAATTTTTTGCTAGATTTGTGTCTAACATTATATAGGTACATTATTTTATAGAATGACATCTTTAAATAAACTTGTTTCTTTTTTTATTATATCGGGTTTCGTCAGTGAAGGTAAGATATAATTTTATTTTTATTACCTTTTCAAATTACGTAGGCAATAGAGTAACTTGATATTCTATATTTTCCAAATACATGATTAATTTGAGGTTAATTTTTTTAATACTTATTAACTTATTTTCTAAAAAATAAAATTCAAGCTTCTATCTGTAAAAATAACGATTTCCAAAGCCCGTTCAAACCCCCCTTACAAACTCCTTTTCACGTTAAAAAGAAGCTATGTCAATTCTCAGGTTCTAGAATATCTGTGTACCTAATTTTATTTAAAACGGTGTATTAGTTTTTGCGTGAAAGGACATACAGACACAGAGTTACTTACGCAATAATAATAGTAGTAAGAACAATAAGTAACAACGAATAAAACTTGTTTTTGAGGTTATGATGGTTATTTTTGTCAAAACTAAGTCTTGCACTGTGTTAAAATGTTATAAAATATATTTCAGCTTGGTGTATTCGTTGTTATTACTGCAATAGTGAAAATAACACAGCCTGTCTTGATGTGAACGCTTATAGCGAGGATATAAGATCACGTATTGTGCCTATCGTCGAATGCGAATCCGCCATACCAAATCCCGGAGGTTACAGTTTCTTCTGCAGAAAGATCTCTCAAACTAGTAAGTAATCGGCAATAATATAATAATAAAAAAGCCATTTTCTCATTTTTAACTTATATTTTCAATTTATCCAAATACCTTAATACCCTAAATAAAAGTAGGCTCTAACTCCCGCGAACTTATATCCAGTGTCATCCAAACTTGTAGATATCGACGGAACGCAAAATGCTTTCTTCTGGCAGTGGGTCCAATTAGACCCATGTGGGAAAACGTGCGCTGGCAGTTAATTTAGAGCTTATAAAACCTCCTTTTATTGAGAATTCAATCAGCGTTAGATTCATTTTTTTAATTAGTTATGTAAAATCCTTGTTCTATTTTCAGTATTCCATTCTCATCGTGAGTCTGACATTCGAGTGACGCGAGGATGCGGCTGGATGCGACATTCTCAGCCGTGCTACAGAGATGACAACACTGACCACCTTGGCATCTCCTGTCAATGCTTTGACGACTATTGTAACTCGTCTGACAGAGTTGACCCCTCCACAATGGCTATCATGTTCTGTTTCTTTGCCGGTGTATTATATTTTTGGCGTTGAATTTTAAGATTGTGAGTTTGATTATTGTGCTGTAGGTTAAATTTGCGTTTAATAATTTTTGAACATAACATTTTCCTTTCTTTGTTTTTAATACTTTTATACAGTAGTTAAGCCACTGTGCTTAGCAAAGAAAACTTACAAAACCCTAATATTGCGAACTCATCAGAATTTTACTATAATTAATCAAAAAAACACTAAGAAACGAAACCTATGTTCAGTTTTTTTTTCTTATAACTTTAAAATACTGTATTTATTAAATGCATGCTAGAAAACACAATAGATATTAAACAAATATTAAATATGCTTCAAATAAACTCATACAATTAAGTGAAATATATTTTTAAACGTGTGTCGAAAATAGAATATATTTAATCCGTACAAGACAAAAGACAACAACCGGATCGTGCAGAGGGTCAGCCAGCCCGGAGCATACGGGTTTATGTTTGCTCGTTGCTTATTTAATAAAATCCGTGTATGGTCACAATTAAAGCGGATTCTAAAGAATTTCTTCCTCTCATAATAATGGTCTTATTTATATTAAAGAAGAAAATAAATGAAAAAGCCAATATTCAGAAACTCTTAGAAGTGAAATATAAAACGAACTAGATAAACCTTAAATATTGCCTTTTTAATTGATTCATTTTTAATAATCTAAACCTTTCCTTATTATAAAAGATACTTATCTTACTTCTTACTAATATTATAAATGCGAAAGTTTAAATGGATGGATGAATGAATATGAATGATGTATGATTGTAACTTCAGAAAAGCTGCGCATGTCACGCTGAAATTTGACATGGATGTAGAACATATTCTGGAAGAAAACATAGGTTTTAGTAAGTTTTCTATTATTCAGCGCCGCCGGAGTCGCAGGCGACAGCTAGTCTCTTTTATATGTTAATTTGATACCTAATAAATATAGCAGCTAGTGTCTCCTTTTCTATGATATGCTAGCTGTCGCCCGCGACTCCGTCCGCGTGGATATATTAATAAATAGTGTAACTAACACGACTTTCTTTTATATATATAGATTTAGGTTTAGAACGATAACGTCGTATTAATAGTTTTGCATTAAAATTTCACTCAAGTAAAATAATAAATGCTAACGATAAACAAACTTGACCTTAACGACGATCCATGTTTACGTTAATAATTACAAAATGGCGGTTCCAAAAACACACAATAATAAACACTCTACGTCATATAAGGAAAACAAAGGAATTATTAAATTAAGTATAATTATATATACTGAGCGGAATATAAATTCTAGTAATAATTTTATTAAGATGTTATATTTATCTTATTGTTTATAGCGACGAAAAAAACGCGATGAGACTTGTCCAGCAAGTAACTAAATTAAAAGCTAAAAAGTAACGTCAATAAATCTTAGAAATAATTTGTACTCAACGCATACAGGTGATACTTTAAACGGTCTCTTGGTGTACAGAGTAACTCCGAGACACTTAACCACATTGAGTGTAATAGTTAAAAGATTATCTTACCATTGGTTTCTGAGATGAAAATCTCTGTATAAATCATTTCATTAATAGAAATAGATAGAATAGAGAAAGTTTCAAACTGGGATTTTGATCTTAGAAACCCACGGTCAATGTAAAAGTAAAGTTTCAAAGATATCGGTTATTAGACAATAGACAACATATCTACAGATGTAGTGTACAAGCTTTGTTTATATTCTGTCGTTGCGTTCGACGAATTGCGGTCCCCTGCAGGAAATCTCTCGTAGTGGTATTTGTACACGTTCCTGTGTTGTGTTACTAATCGATGTATATTTAATCTATTATGTAATGAAGTATCGTGGCACGTGTATCCAATTCATATTTATATATAGAGTGTTCAATGTTAATGAGCTTTTTAATATTGTGGCCACAGGAGTTTGTAAGAATAGTACTATAGAAATCATGTTTGATCTTCACGTTAAATCCCTAAATGTGGTAAGAAAATTTGCTAAATATAATCTGCGCTACGTCTTATCAAGTTACTGTGAGTATGCTCATTGTAAACTCCGATGTGTACGAGAATTAAATCACTACTGCCTCCAAAATTTAGCAATGGTTTTTAATCCTCCAAACAAAAACAACAGGGTGTTGTAAGTTTGACGTGTCTAAGTGTGTCTGTGGATTTATAGCTCCCGAGCAGATGGACTGATTTTGTTTTTTTTTTTGAAAGGGGATTTAACAAGGATTAATGCTAAATAATAATATAGTTGATAAGTTTTAATAAAAGACAACATATAAAGTCAAATTTGCGTAACATTTTTATTTTATTCACCACAGACATTAAACAACAGCCTCTATTTTAACTCTTACATAGTTTTTTGTTTTGACAAAGTTATTTCATGGATATCGTACGCAATCCACACAGCCTTCGAAATAACTTGGACAAAAATATTCTACTATTGTATTATCTGATAATATTAAAGTTTATAAAAATTGCGGAAAAGTTCCATTTTAAGTTTATCCTAAATAACTTTCACAGAAGAATTGACATTACATATTTTTTAAAATTTGTTTTTTCGGGCTAGTGTATCTTTACCTTATAAAAATGTGAGAAATAACATAAATAAAGAGTTTTTATTCATAACTACATTCGTTTGTTTATAATTTAGTAGCTAAGATGTCTATGAACGAAAGTATTATTTTTTGCTTATTTTTTTTTGTTCTTTGAAACTATAAAATATAAATAAATTTATGTTACTTAACACATTCGGTACGGCATTTATCAAAGCTTCATTTAAAATTAATATTTATTTCGTGGAGTATAAGTATTGCAGCGAAAATGTCAGGGTAATGGACTTAGGCTTGTTTCGTTTGTCTCTTCTTTCTTTCAATGCGCTCGGCTGAGTCTTCGAAATCGTTGCTCTCCTTGTCCTCTTTGCGGTTAATAACATCTAGAAATCGTACACAAATATTAATACATGATCTCGAATACACAATTTATGAATAGTAATAATAATATAATATAATAATAGTAATAATATAATATAATATAAATAAATTGAAAAATATAAACTGAGGGCGGATTAAACCTTACTAATGTTATAAATGCGATTGTTTAAATGGATGGATATTTGAAAGTATCAGCAGAACATCTGCAGGAATCTTTGTGAAATTTGGTATAAATGTAAAACAATCTGAAAAAACAAATGGGCTACTAAAGTTTTTTTTTTAATTTCGGGCAGACGGAGTACAACACTATTGTATAATAATCGCACTTTCTCTTTCCTATGGTACTCGTAGAATGCAATTTAAAGTTATTAAAACATTAACGTGCAATTCTACTGCCTTAATAATGAAATATATTAAAATATGTTTACATACAAGTGTTACGTCAGTGGAAACAGATCGCTTCTGTATATTCAAATTATATTTCATATTTACCATCATTATTGAACGATCTGCCGACCCGGGGTCCGAACCACATCCCGCTACTGGTACTTTCGCTTTCCCTCTTCACGTAATCATTACTCCGCGGCTGGCCCAGGAGCTGCTGACCCAAGAGTAGCTCTTCTAAACGTAAGTTGATGCGGTTCAAGTTAGACTGGTCGAGGTAACCGAAGTCGCTACGGCCGACGCGCGGGAACGCATACAGTTGACGTTTGGAGGCCAGCTCGGAATCTATAAAAAAAAATAGATTTTGCCCGCACATTTGTTCGCATTCGAAAACGTATAGGTTTCGTGATGTGATTACGTATGTTGCTACAATGTCATTTTTTATGTTATTCTGCTAAAGAAAATTATTTCTACATACTTTCATCCACTAATTTAGAAATAGAGAATTATTAATAAATCTTTCTTAAGGCATGGAAGTGATTCCTATGAGTTATGTAATTTCCTTCTTGTTAAAGACTAAATCGATGAACTCGCATTGTAGGATTTAGTATAAGGAAATTATTCACACCGTCAACTCCGGAAAAAGGAAATCAAACTCAAATAAAACATCGTTACTTATTCTATCTTTTGCTTTTGATATGTGGATTAAGTTTAGATGTGTGAATTTATTACTTCTGATAAGAAATATATTCATTTTAAATTAATTTCTGAAAAAAGGCCTTAATTAAAAATTAAAATTTTAATGTAATTTCTTCCTTGTTATTTTCATGGTAAATATTTATTTTATTTTTGGTTAATACGAACATACCTAAATATTGGTCGTTAACAGCAACCTGCCATGTGTGGTGGGCTCTCCCAACCCTTGGGAAGGGATACAGGTTCAAAACTCCATCCCGTCGTAGCTTGGCACTGCTCGCTGCAAGAACAACAAAAGAGAAATCTTACTATTACTGTCATATCATACTAATTTTATAAATGCGAATGTTTAGATGTATGGATGTTAGAAGTTATCTCCAGAACAGTTCATCAACGAATCATGATATGATACGTAGAACATAGTCTGGAAGAACACATAAGCCACTTACTAAGCTTTTATAATACCGCGAAAGGAGTCACGGGAGACAACTAGTATATTATATTTAAATCTCTTTGATTTATTGCAAGAAGCTAATATTATATAAATGAGCTTAATAACTTATTTACTTTATGTTCCGGTAATAAACATGTATATCAAAATGTACACAATATGTATACATTTTCCCGTAAACACCAATTCGTTGTACAAAATCCCGCAAAGAGTGCGACTAATGATCCAAGAACCTCGCTACTCTATAAATAAAAGTAATCCAACACCATTCGTATCAATCAGCCGTTTAACGAAACAGAACATAACAAAAATCACGATAAAAATATATTGCAAACACTATTACATTAATTGAATGCCAGTTCTATTATAAAGAGTTTTCATTGCCGAAACATGTTTATAAGAACATTTTATTCAATGACGTCCTCTTTCACATACTCTTTTTAAAAAAAAACTGTGTATAATGTTTCAATACAAATATTACGACAGTCGAAGTTCAAAGAAATGAAAACTTGATTAATAATAAAACTTTTCTTCATGTATACTAGAATTATTATGAAGATAGACGGAGGAATCGAAACTATACTATCATTAGCATGCCATATTATTGTGCAAGTGTATCTTACTTTATAAAAAAAAACAAAAACAAATGCCTACCTTTTCTAAAAAAAAACCTCATATTAAAGGGATATTACGTTGTACAATTTAATTAATACTTCTACCAGGGAAAAACTCTAGGGTCGCTCGTTT